GTCTGTGGGTGCTGTATGTGTGTGGGTACATTACTTTATATCCCCCCTCCCTTCTTACTTTATGTAGGGAGGGGGGATTCTTGTTCCTTGATGCGCTCCCTGGTGGTCCAGAGGAGGTGGGGGAAGATTACTTAATATCCCCCCTCCCTTCTCACCTTATGTAGGGAGGGGGGGATCCTTTCTGCCATCCAGTGGTGAGTGAACTCTAGCCTGCGGGGGCTCAAATCTCACAAGAGGAACCCGGCGGAGCTGCTGGCAATAGCTCCCCGGGTCCTCTCCTGCCTCCCTCCATGTATGTGGGTTGGTGGGGAGAGAGCCTGAGAGCAGAGCAGGCGCTCGGATAGCCCTGGCTCTGCATGAGCCGACAGGGGAGATCCTGAGATCTCCCCTGCCGGTCTCACTCCATAGGCGTGTTATTATTTGAATGCAGTGGTGCATTTGTGTGTAGTATTTGTGTGGGTAATGCTGACATTTGAATGTTAAGGATGTAGTAGCATGTAGTTCTGGTGTTTGAATGTAGGGGTGTTTTTTTTTCTAGTGTTTATGTTTGAATACTTATTTGTGTGCAGTGTTGGTGTTTGAATGTTGGGTGTGTTTGAAGTTTGTGTGAGTTTGTGTTTCAATGCAAGGGTGTATTTGTATGTAATGTTGGTGTTGGTGGCTTCTCTGGGATGCATTGGGAGCTGGCTGAGACTGATGGGATTTTGAGGCACCAGTCTTCCTCAGTCCCTCTCCATCTTTGCATAGCTCTCTGCAAACTGGGAGGAAGTGACCTGAACTCACTTCCTCCCAGTGTGTTATAGTGATTATGGTACTAGTAGTTTTCCTTTATCGCTTTTCCCACTTTAAAGTCTTACATATAAAAATAAACTGTACAGAAAAATTTAAAACTAAAAATGTTACATTACTTTAGTTATTTAGTTAATGAGCAGTGTAGCTATTTTTGAATTTTGCCTCTATGGAATGTCCTACTCCAGCCGTGATGTTTCTCTACGAGCAAGGAAAAGGTGGTAGTTTTTATCTCATTCCCCAAAGATACACGCCAAGGGAGTAAATCTTTCTGTATTTTACTTAAAAATGAGTCATCTTCTCTGATCTACAATCTGTTATTGCTCAGTGACATTTCAAATCAGCAGGAAAAAATGAAATGTCCTCAAGCAACATTAAATAATAGAAGACTAGAGTTTAGTTAAGGCTTTTGTCATAGATTTATGGTACTTAAAAATGAACCGAACACAGAACTTTGTAGACATCTATGGGGTTATGTATGAACGAGAATATAGTTTTCTGATCTTAACTACAGTCACAATTATATTGAAACAAAGTATCTTATCCACTAAGAACAATTCTTAGAAAAAATGCTAAAAGCAGAAATATTTGAAAGCTTTCCCTAGAACTTTTGTCACCCAGTTGTACTTTCAAAAATAAATCTTATTGTAAATGTACACACACGCTACTAAATTATTTTTGAATCATGTTAGTAAAGGTTTTCTTGGAATATATACGCCCCACCAACCATTAATTCTGCATACATTCAACCTGGATATACATGTGTACAATAAAACTATGATCAATTAAAAATCCCTAACACATCAATGCTTTTATTCTGTTCTAAAGATAGGAGGAAGTAAATCCGATTCCCCAAAATGAATATAATTACACAGTGTAAATTAGCTAATGCAAATCCTTGCCAAACAGGTGTTCTATATCTGACACACACTGTTAATCTCTGATTTTTATTATCAACTTTTTCTCCACAGAGACTTCACACACCACGTGAAAATGAACAGCTACCCAGATGCAGATCCTTATTAAACACACTACTAATGCAACAAATCGATTATTTATGTGCTAACCTGCATGCAATCTACATTGCTCCACAGAAAATTAGAAATATATATGTATAAAACACAACTTTTTCCCTTATGCATCCACAAAAATAATATCAGAATGTGACAAATTTTGCTATTTGTTCCTGAGCCAATGAATGAGATTTTATTTTTGTTTCCATTTTGCACAGATCATTGCCCAGTGAGTCAAACAGTTGATTATGTTGTTTTGATGTCATTTTGATCCACTTAGCTTCAGATGATCAGAAAGGGCTGCAAAAGATATTGCTTATTTATTACCTCTTCAACATCATCTGATCTGCATCCTTTGAAACACAATGAATTACAAAAGCTATTGTTTTTGTCAAGGCTGACATAGAAGGAGTTGTGTCCCAGTGGAACAAGGAAGCTGATGATTGTTGAGTTTTAAGATTTGTTTCTGTGAGCAGATATTAAACTATTGGGATTTACCTATGAGAGGCTATTTGTGTCTTCTTTATCATTATTTAGGGTATTTGGATACAGAAATATCATATCTCAGTTGCCCCAATGGCTACTAGAAAGTAGGTGTAACAGATCACCTGGCACCCCGACTGGGAACCTCCGTTGAAGGATGCTCCTAGCGCTTCCTGAGGGCTCCAAGCACTCCAGAGGACACCATAACCACCTTGGACTCCTTCAGAGAGCAGGACAGGAACAAGCTCTTACAAGAGCTTAGTAGTGATTTAGCAAGGGAGTATGACAAGCATAGCAATCCCTTGTAGCAGATTCCCCCAATAAGAGACGGCCCTCCAAATTGAGGGTAAAATAGAACTGACTGTACTGGCACATACAGCCTCTTTTATTCACATTCTACAAACATAGTACTGCCCACAGGGTTTTGAAGAACAACCAATCAACACATTACAACACAGCTAACACTCCCATTCATTACATCAGAAATGCTCCCCTCTGCCTGTGATACAATTATCTCAACACAATAGACTAACTTAATTATCACAGGCAGGAAAATACAGTATTATAAAACATATCACAGTCACCCCAAAACATGCAATAACCCCATAAAATATATCCTCGGAACCAGATCCGTTCAGTAGTTTGGAATATATGGTTTAATGCAGATTCTGCAGAACATATACAGGCTATATGAAAAATAATTACTGTTAAATGTGTCCCCTGTTCTGTAGTTTAAAACTACTGAACAATGTCTTTGTGCACCAAACACTGGTGAGATGGCACCGTGTAGAAAAGTCAAAACAGTGTCTGTGAGTTAAAATGGCCGCCTTCCATTGTTCTCACCATGTGCTTCATCCATTGGTCTCACCATGTGCCTCTAATACATGAAATGGTGGCCACCCAGTAACTCCACAGTATGTCCCCAGATGGTTCCTAAAGGGCAAGCAGCAGCATAATAAAATACAATATGCCCAAATCAGTTCCTTAACCCCTTAAAGACACATGACATGTGTGACATGTCATGATTCCGTTTTATTCCAGAAGTGTGGTCCTTAAGGGGTTAAAGGGCAATACATCCCAGGGCCATAGTCACAGGGCAGGAGGCTGGCAAACAGGCCTCTCCAAAAACCAGTGGCGAGGTCACTTTCACCACAGTAGGGGCCTGAAACACCAGAAAAAAGAGGCACACATCTTGTGTTCTTTCACATTGTACATTTCACATTGTACACCACAGACCTCCGTCATCCCACCTTTGGAACACATATGGAATGGGGAACTGGGATATTTTCCAGTAGTAATGGGGCTCACTGAAATTATTCACTATAATGTTATGCTGCTATCTCTGGGACTAATCCAACACAGAAATTTGTCTCATCTCATGCTATCTGATGACAACAGAGGGCACAAGGTTTAGGTGCTAGAGGAGCCATGCTTTTTTTGTCAAAAACCTCAACAAACCGGGAGGACAGTGCCAAAGACTCTTTGCACCTTAGCCACTACAATGAGGTGGTTATGGTGCTTAATGTGCTCTTTTAATTAAAGAGTTACTCTAACCACTATGACCACTTCAGCCCTCTTTCCTTCCTTCAGTTAAGCCCTCCCTACCTCCATGTAACCCTATTTTGTTAAAGTACCCTCTCTCCCTCCCCACTCAATCATTTGCCATCTCAGAGTCCATACAGAACAGTTAAAACTGGACTATGACTTCAGATGGGGAGTGGAAAGCTGCATGGGAGCTTCACCGGCACTGGATTTCAGGTAAGGGTTAGATTTTTTTTCAGCCTTATTTTAATGTTTATAGGGAGGTAAACCTAAAGAATAATTTTTAATACAAATATGTTTTATACAGCTTATTAACGTTAAAAACAAGTGTACATCGACACATTTAATATTCACCACTAAAATGGGTGAAAGGAAATCTAAAACCAATTTAGAAAGTGTTTTGTGGTTGTAATGTTTTCTATAGAGCACAGTTTAATTGAAGTTAGTAGCAGAAACCTACAAGCAACAGAAATCACTTATATCCAGCCTGAGCACAATTAAACGTTAAATAACGTAAAATAATTAGAGCTGTAGTACCAGCTAATGTCTTGGCACCTGCAGTTTAAATGTCATATGATGTTTAAAAGTCTGGAAAAGGCTCGAAGGAATGATCCACCCGATGTAGGCAAATCTCTGTGTGCTTGTTGTAATTGCCCATGTCCTTAGAAACAGCCATTAGACTTCCGTTTAGGATAAAAGCTTGTAATTTGGGATGCTAATAAAACATGAAACCAGGCAAAACATTCCAAACAGACACAGAGCTTCACTTATAAACACAATAAAGGAATACTAGAAGGCTGTAATTAAATGTTATGCCTCTCAGTCATTTGTCTTACTTATATACAACTATATTGCACACTTACATTCTGGCCTCCAGAGTCATTTGTATATGTATGACTTAAAACCATTTATTACATGCATCTTTATTAAAAAAATTTCATTAAACAAGTAAAACCTTTTACAGTAATCAGAATTGGTACAATTATAATTTGACAAAACAAACAAACAAAAACTTTTGGAAGTCTTTGTTTATTGTTATTGCTTAGTGCAATCCAATGCTTTGTCTTAGTATTTTTTATCTGAAAATTTCTGTTGAAAGGTGAGGTCTAGACATCGACCTCAAAAGCCTTGATCCTGCATGCCTTGGTACAAATTCTCAAGCCAAGACTCAATCTAGTGTTCCACATCTTGATCCAGCAACCTACAGATGAGGGGCTTCTGGCTCAAATCATCAGCATCCAGGTTATTAGTCATGAGAGTAGGGGAGAATGCAAGCACCAGAGACCTTGTAGCCTGCATAGTGGTCACGGACATTAGTGCAATCAAGTGTAGGTAACAACACTTCTGTATTTTGCCACATAATCCAGACTAGAAGTATATATGTGAAGGGTTCCTCTGATGAAAATGTTTTTTACCCCATTGTTATTCACCCCTTTTATTACTCTGTGTGTGGAATGGCATCTGTCTGTACACCTCTGATTGTTCTGAGGAGTGCATTTCGGACATCACGGGTCATTCATATGGCATACTAAAGTGGGAATTAGTCAGGAAAGCAACCATGGTTAACACACCTATTTTAGACACGCCTGTTAATTACATGTATATTATTTCTTTGGTATGTAGATTATTTGTTTTTTCATGTACCAACTTCTGCTTGGCCTGATTTATGTACATCTACTTTGTTTTGTTTCCATGGCTGTGTACCTTGTACATGTGTTCTTCACTTCAAAGAAAATAATGAAATCGTATAAACCACGTATATTATAATCGTATAAATCCAAGTGTGGATTCCATAGATGAACACATAGACATTGTATCTTCTTTTTTTAGTAAGAATAACCATGAAGAAAATTTGATATAGCTTTCCCATTCCTAAATAGAGGATGGTGCATCCAAACATTTGAAGCATCATTGATCCACACATATGTGTATGGAGTTATTCATTAATCGTACAGGCAATGCTTGACATTCAACATTTAGGATAGGTTACCACAATTGATATTTCATGAACATATAATAATAATAATAACAGAGTGAAAAAAACACATGCTAAACTATGCTACATATTAACAAACACTTAAAGGGATACTCTGACCACCATAACCACTTCTGCTTTTAGAAGTGGTCATGATGGTTGGAATCTGTATGTGCAGGGTTTCTGCTTGAGATGCGGCACATACAGATATATTTGCAGTTTTGTGCTGGGGCCCCCTGGCACACGTGACTTAGGCAGCCTGGAACTCTGTTTTGTGCTGTCTAATGTTAAATCTAAAAAAATTACATCTGTTGTCTGTGCACACTGCACACTGTCAACAGATGTAATTAGCTTCTACCCTTGCTGACAGTGCTAAAAGTGTGTCGCAAGGGAAAATCTCTGTCTTCCTGCCTCCCTCCAGTTGCTAAAATTCTCCTTTTTTTTGGGGAGCGCATGCATGCACTCTGTCCCAATGAAAAAGTCCAATCAAAAGCTACCTGACACATTTGACAGGACCTTGCAAGTGAAGGAGTGACGTCAGACAGAATGGGGAGACTAGTGCGGGGCACTTTGTCTGGCGCTGGATTCCAGATACGTTTTATATTAGGAAGGGTTTTACTGCAAATTGGGGGTTTATATAAAAATGGGTTGGAGTACCCCTTTAATCTTGTATTAAAAAAGTACTACAAAGTACAAAGAAATTGTTAATAGCGGAGGTACTAGAGGATATATTTTCTAACTAAGTTAAGAATGAATGTAAATCCATAATCTAACACCCATCCCAGCACAAAAAACCTTGCTGAATTTACATGCTAATATTGTTATGTGTAATTAATTTGTTTTATTTACTAGCAACATTCAAACAAACATCTGGAAAAGCTGATCTTAAATCTCTCCAATAACTACAAAGTAGCCATGTTTTGAATATAGAGGGCATTTAAGACCTGTGGGATGAGTTGGATGGGTGTTAGCAGCAGATGTTTAAGCACTAATTAAAATCCGATGATTGCATTCAACACTTCACATTATTCTAAAGAGTGTCTATTCTGAAGAAAAGAAATGTTACAGAAAATGAAGTGGTGCAGTGAAACAAGGCAATGAGAAGAATTTGTAGGAACATTTAATCTTACAGCATTCTGCATTGTCCTCCAAACAGTCCTCTGAAAAGCCCAAGGGGGAAAGAAAACAAAGATATGAAAGGTTAATGCAAACAAAACTGTAAATGGTCTTTGATATTTTTTTGTATTTAAACATATTATGTTTAACTCTATGCTCAAAAAATATTCAACATCCAATATCACACGCAACATATTCTGTTGAATATTGGTGTGAAATTGCAAGACTCATGATGCTTTTTGAATATAATATCCTGCCCTCCCCAAAAGGATGTCTGTTTAAAGCAGATAGAGTGACATTTCTTGAATTATTTAGGATGCCTGGCAGATGCATCAAGTTGACTTTTGGACAATTTAGAACATTTGATCATCCAAACTGGCATTTTTCCTAATGATATGTCATGGTTAAAACCGTTCCTTTAATACATGTGAATCAACTAGGCATATCTTCTTCATTGATGACCGATCTTTATATGACTACTTTAATATACAGACTAGTTCATCAAATCATAAGGACGAGATGTTAAAGGTTTATCAATTTGAAAGGTCTTACGGTAACGAGAATAAAATGTGTTCTACTTCAATAATTGAAAAGAGGTGAAAAAATGTATCAGATGTGTAGACAAATGCATCAAATTGGATTGGCTGTGATCTCTCAATCATTTCCTGCTCTCTACAGAAGCCAGTGCAGAAAAGATCAGGGATGCCTCCACACAAATGATGGAAAATCTAATAAAGATATCAGTTTCATTTTACTTTTTTAATGCCTGCATCTTTTTTTTAATTGTTTTGTTTATATTTAATTTGCATTCTGTATCATATTTTACACTAATTATAATGTTCACTAGGGAACCCTAACTTGCAGACAGGACAGAATAGAGAAAATTGCAAAACTGATCCCTAGAATGGTTGGGTTATGCAAAAAGGGATAGTCAAAACACTAGCCAAGGTCAAGGGAAATAGAGAGACGGAATAACGAGAGACAAAGCCAAATATCAGTAACCAGGCAATCCAAATAACAAGTGCAATGCTCAATGGTAAACCAAAAACCACAACAGGATACTGAGGCAAGGGAGGGGTTAGCTTATATACAGACAGGGTGTGTCTGATTGGCTAATCTCCAATTAGTGTTAACCACAACACGTGGGAGGAGTTTTTTCCCTCCCTTGTGGTCTCTGAGGTCATCACTGTGTGCTGGGTCACATGACCGGGTGCAGCACACATATAAGAATGCTGCTGTGGAGAGTGCAGCATCAGACACACTGCCAGTCTGGAGACAGGGACCAGATGACGCCGCTCGCTGTGATGAGGTAAGCAAGGTCGCCGCGGGGACAGGAGACCTGACAATAATCAAACAATGTAGCAGAGGATATTCATTTAAGAGTAGAAAATATTTTTCAGGCCAATGTAAAAAAATATAACAAAATTATACACAATATAAATTATTTGGTTGCATATAAAGTACAGACATTATTCAATAATGACAGGAATTTGGCTCTTTGACACATCTTAACATGTTATAAAATTATCAATTAAAGTTTAGTTTCCCAACTCATGTCTAACAATAATAGTATATAAAGATTCAAATATGTGTATTAACTGCAGTGAGCCCTAAAGTTCACCTCAGCAAACTCTGGGCATCAAAATTTTAGAAAACCATTTTTAGGTGGTAAGTTATTTGAATAGGGTTTTCAATAACATTGTGTTTTTTTGTTAACACTTGTAGAAGTGCGTTTCTTCTTTGGTTTGTGTCATACTCCCTAATTAAAACTGTAAAGCACGGCAGAATTTGCTGGAGGTATATAAATGTCACTAATAATAATTTTATTCAACTTTATTAATGGATCAAACATTTTTTTCTAGAATTTGTTTTGCGTGTTATTATTTCCATTTTAATGCAAATGTACATATAGTGATTTTTTTTTTTATAAACTAGAATTTTTTAGACATGGGTTTAGAAGATAACATATTGCAGAGACATGACCTTGTTCATGCTGATATAACAAACATTGACAAATCAACATTCATAAACAGATGCTGCTTTAATAGCATTCTAGCATAGAAATAATTAAGGGTAATTAGAATTTTCAGCTTTCCTTAATGCAAGCAGCCAAAGTCTAGAATAGATGGAAAAAATAATTTCTTAATTTAATACTGACTTAACCAGTTTCATACCAGAATCATACTAGGAGATGCAGAAAAAATGTTAAATACATGTGTAAATGAACATAGAATTATGATTTTCTTAAATCAGTTCATGGAGTGATACATACAGTAACATATAAGAAGAATGAGTGTGGAGTATATCTCCATTAATATTACGGACTGTCATGTGTGTGTTTAGTATTAAGTATTTATTTTAACATCACGATAAGGGAATGACCATGAAGATGGAGTGATACATGTGCCAGATTCAATAAGTGTCAAAGCCACTTACTGAACTTGGTATCTTGTATAACATTGAAATGCATTATACATTCCTACATTGTGTTGCCAGGATGTTTAACTTAACTAGCCTTAGAATCACAACAGCTGAGTACAATTACTCAGCCACGATTATTTAAAGGGATTTGACCCCTTAAGGACCAAACTTCTGGAATAAAAGGGAATCATGACATGTCACACACGTCATGTGTCCTTAAGGGGTTAAAGAGGCTGTATGCAGCTCTGAATTATATGTATTTATCTATATATATTTGCAGTTATTTGTATTTTATATATAGATCGATATATATATAGAATGTCATTCTAAGTGTATTTTGTTACCAATATATATATATATATATATATATATATATATATATATATATATATATATATATATATATATTAGTAACAAAATACAGTTAGAATGAAATTACATATGAATATATAATTTATATTAAATTTTGTTTCAATATTTTATTTATTTTATTATTTTATTTATTATTGTAATTATACGTATATATATATATATATATATATATATATAATATATGTGTATATATCTATTATATATATATAATATATATACATATTATATATAACGTCATTCTAAGTGTATTTTAATATTAATATATATACTAATATTAGTATAAAAATACGTATGACGTTACATATAAATAATATGTATATATATTATATATATATATATAATATATATATATATACATATATATATATATATATACATATATATATATATATATTATATATATATAATATATATATATATATATATACATATATTATATATATATATATATATATATATATAAAAATACTTTTAATTTAATTTTAAACATGTTTAATTTATTTTATTTTTTTACACTTTTCACCAGCAGGGGGACTGTCTGACATTTCAGACAGTCCCCCTGCTGGCAGATCCACAGCCAGCTATAGGGGGCCATATTTGCCGGGGGAGGGCTGCCTGGGCTGTCAGGCAGCCCTCCTGATGAGGATCGCGGCGGAGGTAAGTAGATCTCACCTCCTGGGGGCTTAAGCCGTTACAGCGTTCTATGCCACCGCAACGGCTTTAAAGCCCTTTAAAGCCACGACGGCATAGAACGCCGTAATGGCGTTAAGGAGTTATGTGGCTAAATGGAAACACACTATGTCTGTTTTTGTTTTTATTCTGTTCCACTCTATAAATATCTTCTTGGACCCTTTCTATAAAGGAACACTCTATGTTAGGAATACAAAGCTGTACTCCTAACACTAAAGTGTCCTTCTCCCCATCCTCCCTCACAGCCACCTCTCCATGGCAAATAAAGGGCTAATAACCATTTTTATACTCACCTTATTTTACGTCAACACTGAGGGGAAACACTGAGGGGGAGCCTAATGGTCATACACGGTTAGTGTTGCGTGAGCATAAGGCCATCAGTGTCAGTACTTCCAGTGTCATTGCACAGAGTCAATGACGCCTCTAGTGGCTGTTTGGGGGTCAGCTACTAGAGGCATTATTGACCCTGTGTTTTAGATTGAAGACTTAAGGGGACAGAAACACTGCACCCAGAGCACTTCAATGACATGCAGTGTTCTGGGTGCCTATAGTGTCCCTTTAACATGGATGTTCCACTCGTATTATTAATGCATTATGAAATACATTAACAAATAATATGTATGTCATTTCTGGTATGTATTAAATATGATGTGCAAAGTATCTACAATTTTAAATAATGGATTTCCAAAATAATAAAATCAACTTCAACAACAACATAAAATGTAAACATTTAGAAAACAAAATGCAATATTAGGAATCATTAAGTAAATAAACCAGAGTAGATTATTTACCAGTCTGTCCAGGCTTGTGGCAGCAGTAATTGTCGGCCTGTCATCACGGTTGTAGGGATAGAAGCGATTATTATACCTTTCTGAATATGATCGGGATGATCTTAATGAATATGGTGATTTGGGTTGACCACATGCCAGAAAAACCTGCAGGAAAGGAAGAAAAATAAATAGTAAGTCAAATGTATATCACAGTATCCTAAATTTGAAAAGCATCACAAAGATTTTTTTTTATTATATAAAATACATTAGTAATGATAAAGTTTTCGCTTACAGCAGAGGAAAAGGTTCTTTATAGTACAACAACAAAGATGTGGAATTTTCTGCCTGAGGAGCTTGATTATCACATTCTGTAGATATTTTTAGAAAGACTTAGATGTTTAAAAAAAAACAAAAAAAAAAAAACCCAATATTCAATGTTACAATTAATATATGTATATGAACAGGTTATTGATCGGAGAAGATATCTGACTGCCATTTTGGAATTATGTTTTTGTTTTCTTTTGTATTAATAGACCAAAAAGATGTGTTGTAAAGGCTGAACATGATGGACTTGAGCCTTTTTTAACCCAGATTACTATGTCATTTTGTTGCTCTTATTTGACTGTAACTATTTGAAAGTAATGCGATCATCCTTGGGATGTATAAAAAGTCGTGCTACATGATGTAAAAGCATGCTCGGAGTGAATGGAAAGCTCATGAATTGCATCTATCGAAGGTACTGTAACATATGTTTGCTGGATGTCTTTTCCAGAAAAAGTATCTACAAATTTGCGGCCAGGCCATCAATGTACTTAAAAAAATAATAAATACCAGATTCATAGTAAATTCTTTGCATTTGCCCATGCCTGTATTGTTTATCTTTATTTATACTTGTAAGAATCATTTTTTTAAATATATAGAAAAAAAATTCTTGATAAAACATTTTGATAACTGTAATTGTGGTGAAAGATTACTATTATTGGGTAGCGCACACAGTGTGAAATGAAATGGAGGGTTCAATACTTTGGCCGTGCAGTTAGCAAGACTGGAACCCAATACAATATCATATATTTATATTTGTCCTAGCATGAAGCCATTGATATTAATTTAACAAAGAACTTTGATAAACAGTTTTTTCAAGATAAAGTTACTGTATCAGTACCATGGTCAAAGGATAAAAAGGATACATAATCATTTGAACATTTTGAACAATGGCTTCACTAAAACTTTATCCAAACATTTGAAATTCTTCAACTAACTGGACATTATGCATAATCTATTTCCTTCGGTATTGTGTGTGATGTACCTTATTTATATTCATAATTTTTAGGTTTTTGAACAGAAATTCTTTGTACACAGCTCATATCATCATTACTTTATGCATACATGAATATATTAATCTGTGTGTTAAGGTCATGGAATAATTGTTTTAAAATGTGTGTACTTATGAAAAATGCATACTGAGTGTGTGTGTTGATCAGTGAAGAATATATTAATGAATAAGTCTCTTTATAAAAAGTGAAGCATGAGTCACCTGGGGATTCTTATGCACACTAAATTCAAGGTGAGAGATCAGCACAAATCAGGCTAATTTAGATTTTTTTTTTTTTAAGGAATCTTACATTAACACTAAAAACAGAAATGCATTTTTACATAAAAGAGGTGAAGCTCTGCATTAGTTGATAATATGATGGTCTAGTAATAGGGATAAATTTAGAAGAGTTTAGCATAAATGAGTCTTGGCAGTGGGTCCCCAATGCAGATGCATACATACTGGAAGTATCTTAACCTAAATAGCTAACATAATCTGAAGTTTAAGCACGTTAAAGGTTATAATAGAAGATACAGGAAAAAAAAATAGGAAGGAGAAATTTAAGTAAAAGATCGACATTAACCAACCTCTCCATTATCTTAAACTAAATCATCAAAAATAAAATGAAACATAATAAAAAAGGTACTTGGACACTACGAAGTATATTAAATTTAACAAAAAATGTTTTATGCAATGTTTCTTCCTAAAAAAAAAAAAAATTACAAGAACAAATAAGTGAGATTACTATTTTCAAAACTAAAAACACTGCTACAAAGACTACACAACTCAAATTAATGTAACAAATGGAGAACACATTTAAGACCTGGGGGAAGAGCCTAGTAGCCCACCAGAGCAGACACCATCTTTAGCAGGTCCAGCTAAACAATTTTAATTTAGTATGTAAGCACAGATATGCATCCCATCAAAACGTGGGACTACGGAACATAGATTGGCTTTACTTGAAAACACAGATGATTTCTTTCTCAACTCAGGTACAAAAATACAAAGCCAAGGCTTTTTAGGCCTACAATGTACCTACCATCGACAATAGAGGTCTCCAATCATGTACTACCCTCTTACCAGTTGTCAAGAACCCCAATATATTAACTATCAGACACATGGGACGTAGATCCCACAAATCTCTCCAATCTACCACAATAGCACAGTGTGACCTTACCTCCACACATGTTACACTCACCTCCACATACTAAGGCACTGGCACCCTTGGAGTCCTCTTCCCTACAATTGAGGGAGACTTAAACTGAGGGCTGATCTGGCCACACCAGACCTGAAGGTCTCACAGGCTTTGGATGATAGTAATTTGGTTACTAAAAGGTACATAAATAAACCTATTTGCCAATATACAACAACTCTTTGCAGTGGACCTTGCATATACAGGTTACCAAAAAAGATGTTCTAGACCTGCGACAAGGTTTGACAGCACTGGGAGAAACAGTACAACAATTGCAGACAGTACACCTTCACACGTTTCAATGAGTAGACCTTCTCTATGATAGAGAAAGAATATAAAAATTAGGGGAGTATTGGAATGAATTCCCTCAGAAGAAGTTCCACACTTTATTAGATGACTAGTGTCATCAGTTCTACAGACAAAACAAACTAAGCACTTCTCTTTTGATTGAGTGTATAGGATTAACAAATCCCCATAATCACTTACATGTGTCTCCCGTGATGTTATTTTACACTGTCAAATGCTGGCCAAAAGGCAAGATACTTATGGGGAAGACACCATATTAATTTGAGACTTGTAGCCTCACATTTTTCAAACACCTGAGCAAATCCACTACTTTGACATAAATCTACAAATCCAATTACCAAAACACCAAATTCAGGACTTACCTACCAATGGTCCACTTCCAGATTCATTTTGGTCATTAAAGAAATTCAATCATACACGGCTTCTGATCCTACAGAGAGTTCAGCATTTTTTGAAGTTCTGGGCCTAGCAGATAACATACCCAGAAACAGCTTTCCAACCATTCCTGGGATGTCGTCAGGATTAAAACCTTCATACCCAGAGGGGAGAGGGACTCCATGACATAAATGCATATATTTTACTTGCAATAGCACTATCACTTGTATATCCTCTCCATATGCTATTCACAACATAAATCACCCTCCCAGGAATAGGAGAAATGCTGCTCGGTGGTCCTATGCAATAATACTGGGCATTTGCGACATGCAAGTGGACGCCGGCCGCTGTGGATCCACACTGTTATGTAGCACCACGTCTGTCCATGATGGTAGCGATGTCGAAGTGCGGATGATGTCACTCAGAGGGCGCGCACGCATGTTTTGGGGTCAAAGGCTGGATAAGGCCAATCGGATTCACAAGAGGGATATTTAAACTCACTAATTTCTTCTAATCTAATCTTTCCCTTTCCTGGTTATCCAAGAGTGTGTTCCTGATCGTGTTTCTTTGGTTATTGACTTTGGGTTCGTTCTGACTTCCCTGAATCCTGGTATCCCTGACTATTGGCTGTTCTATGCAACTGTGTTTCGTTCTGTGTTCCTGACCTCGGCTAGTATTTTGACTATTCTCTGGTATGTTAAGTCCGGTCATTCTAAGGTCCGGTTAGACGTTATCCTTATTCCTGGTGTGATACTAATACTGCGTGTTGGATCATTGTAATCCTGACAAGCACATAGTTTTGGTAGTTTACAGGCGTTTTCCCTTGCTACTGCAAGTTCTTGTTTGGGATAATATATTACTAACTATGACGCATGTGCTGTGATTCTGTCGCCAGAAAGATGCTACTTTATGTTATATGTTAGTATAACACCTCCCCGTGGGTACTTCATTAGGGGTAATTATCAACTAGGAGCTTTCGTTTTGTGTTATTAGGACTTTCAGGCTACTGAATTATGAATCTAGGGAAAATAGACCTGTCCTGTTGTGTAATAGCAAAATATCTTATGCTCCGATCCCACTAGCTTAAATAAGGCAGTTTTGTTAGAGTAAATTAGGAATATTTACTCAACACTGTTCTTCCATTGCGCTTATTTACATTTTTCAAATGGAGTATTAAATCCTGATTCTGACAGATATAGAGCACTACTAGTACATTCATATTTTATTTTCCTACATGTTTCTGGCATAACATAGTCGACTATGATGTGGTTCATATATACCGCTATAACTGCCTCTTTTTGCTAGACATGTGATGACATGCTTCTTGTATATGCCTCAGTTTGTCAAAAATAACTTGTACTGTTACCCAGCACAACTCTTTATCTATTACACTATGATTTGACTGCTGCATTTCACATATCACTGAGCATATTGCAACTAGACTACGCTTAAGCACTATCGAAAACATAATAAAATGTTTCCTCTGAAATATGCAGGTATTCTACTATATGTACAGCATCATTTCCCATTTCTCCAATTGTCATTTATCTCATATTTAAACATAAAATGAAGTATTCATAATCTTTGTGAACTATTATGTATCAGAATTCATGCTCCACCTTACTTCTGCTTGTAATGTATAATATATTTATGCCTCAATAAAAAGTAAATAACAAAAAACAAAATGAAAAAAAAAACATTTAAGATATTATCATTAGTGATGTCCGTAATGGTTCGCCGAACGGTTCGCCACGGACTCATCATTGAGTAAACTTTGACCCTGTTCCTCACAGTCAGCAGACACATTCCAGCCAATCAGCAGCAGACCCTCCCTCCCAGACCCTCCCACCTCCTGGACAGCTCACTAAGAATGCAGCTTCACAATGAATGTAAAATTGATGCTGTCCAGGAGGTGGGAAGGTCTGGGAGGGAGGGTCTGCTGCTGATTGGCTGGAATGTGTCTGCTGACTGTGAGGTACAGGGTCAAAGTTTACTCAATGATGAGTCCCCGGCGAACCGTTAATAATTATATTCCTTTAGTTTTAGATGTGGATTCTGACCATTATATTTCCTATTTTATTTTATTTTAGTTTTTTGGTTTTTTTTTTTGTATGATCTCAATCAATTTTATTTTGCAATCCTCTATCTTCTTGGTTAATATTTTCTTTTGCTATCATATGTATATGGTATATCATTTGTTTTCTATTTTATTGTGCAATATGTACTTAATAATATATACTTAATATATCTTGTTTATGTATATCTTAATATCTATGTTTATGTATCATTTCTTTTTTATGATAATTTGGATACACGTGTGCAAGATGAAAATATACTTCTATGCTACATGGATTATATCCATTGTTTAAGGGATAGAGGGTGCTGTTGAGTCAGTTTGACTAAATTGCAAGATAGAATACAATAAATAGGTTAGAGTCCTCATTAGATATATATGCAGCATGTGATATTAGAGTTAGAGTAATTGGAATAAATTCAAGACAGGGGAAAATTAGCCCCCATATTGATCACTATCAGTGTCCAATCCTTTCACTGTTTAAACAGGTTTTGAATTTTATAAAAAATGATCGATTGTTAACCTAGTATATGAGCATTTATTTCCCAGACACAGCATATGTATGCAGCTAGGACTCAAAGAAAAACATTTGTCCAATATTTGTGAGGTGATTAGTTAGTACAGATACTAGGTAGATGATTCAGTAAACTGTCAGATAAATAATTAATTATTCTAACTGATAGTAACCACGGACATACTGTTTCGAGGCAGTCCCCTGCATCTATCTAACATACCCCTTATTAGATCATAGTGACCAGATAATATGGAACCACAAGGCAGCGTGAGCTTAAAAACAAATGCATAACATGTGCGTATAATCTAAAGTGTAGTCGTCTCGATGCGCGTTTCGGTGACAAACCAGCAACTACTAATCTGGCATTTCTTCCTGGATGGCTGAAATTCACTTGCACTGTATCATTCAAGGCATACATTTTCATTTACATGAATATAACACACTTTTATATTTTGTTTGATCTTGATAAAGGCCTTTATAAGAATTACCAAATGAATCCAAATAAAAAAAAATACTTGTTTGAATGAACTTCACACATATATATAATATGTTTTGCCAGAGTTTTAATTACAGCGGTCTCCTGGCTAAGTGCCGCTGCAATTTTTATGTGAGCCATATGTTTAAAAAGCCTTCCAAGATGTTTTAAGCTATTTTAACTAAATGAACTTCAGAGCCTGATTAGAAGTATTTAACTACACTACATATATTTACCAAAATAGTTAACCCACTGTGCTCTTTAGTTATTGCCACAAGACAACAGAATTAAAGATAAAAAGAAAAAAAAGCTCATAATCCTTTTGTTCTAGGGATGTTTGATTACTTTTTCTCTATCAAAAGCTAATCTGTATAACAACAGCCGCATGCCAAATTGAGTTAATCTTGCATCACTTAAGGGTCTTGGGAATTAAGTAAGGAATAAAAAAAGGACAGCATAACAGTCAATGTACCTATACTAGAAACAAAGAATTGCAACCTGACATGAAAATGTCTTCATTTTATATGTTTATACACATCTTTTACCCTTTAAGGCCTTGCCATTTTATGTTACCCTATAGAACAGGGGTGCCAAAAATGTAGATACCCTGATGTTGTAGAACTACAACTCCCATGATGCTTTGCATATCTTCAAAATGCTTTAGAATGACAAGGCACCATTTAAGTTGTACAGTGGCGTACACACAATCCATGGGACCCCGGTGTGAAACTGACCCGACCGACAGAAAATCCATCTCCATCGAGTGGCCCTACCCTTCAGACTTTCTCCCATGCTACTGAACAAAAGGTGGATGCACTTCTCCTTTTCACTCAACCCAGTACTTGCCAGCTTGATTCTGTCCCTTTTCACCTTATCAGATCTCTCTCCCCTTGTCTTATGCCTTCCTTAACACATACCTCAACTGCTCTTTCTCTTCGGCATTGTCCCTGCTGCCTTTAAAAATGCTACTGTAGTACCCATCCTAAAAGAAACATCTCTTGACCCGTCCTCCCCCTCTAACTGTTGCATTTTCCTCAAAGCTTCTGGAAAGACTTGTCTTGTCTGGCTAGCTTCCTTAATTCAAACTCTCTTCTTGACCCTCTTTAGTCTGGCTTCCACCCCCTCCACTCTACTGAGACTGATCTAATTAAAGTTACTAACAACCTAATTGCTTCTAAATCCAAAGGCCACTATATTAATTCTTCTTGACCTCTCTGCTGCCTTCTCCAAACTCTTCAATTACTTGGTCTCTGTGATACTGTCCTCTTATGGTTTTCCTTCTATCTCTCCTAATGCTCAGTCAGTGTCTCATTTAATAATTATACCTCCCCCCTAATCCTGCCTCAGTTGAAGTCCCCCAAAGCTCTGTTCTTGGTCCCCTTCTATTTTCTCTTTATACTTTCTCTCTTGGCAAACTTATTACCTAATTTGGATTCCACTACCCCCTGTATGCTGATGACACCCAGATATATCCCTCCTCCACGGACCTCTCCACCGCCATCCTGCAATGTTTTACTGCTTGCTTTTCTTCTGATTGGATGTCCTCCCCCTTTCTGAAACTCAATATCTCCAAAACTGAGCTTCTTGTCTTTCCTCCTCCTAATACTGATCCTCCTCTTTCACTGTCCCTTCAAATTGGTGGTACCCAAATCATCCATCATTGCAAGCATGCTGTCATGGTGTTATATTTGATTATGGTCTCACCTTTGAGCCTTACATCCAGTCTGTTACCAAATCCTGTCGATTCCATCTTATAAACATTGCCCGCGTTTGCCCCTTTCTTACGCTACTAAGGAGCTTGTTCATGCTCTAGTAATCTCTCGAGCATCGATTATTGTAACTCTCTCCTAATTCCCAGAAGCCGTACTGCCCTGCTACTGTCTGTAATGAATGCTACCATCAGACTGATTTTCCTCTCCAGTCGCTCCTCTCACACCTCATTCCCCTGTCAGTCCTTATATTGGCATCTGTATCCTATAAGAGTCAATTAAAAGTACTAATCCATACCTTTAAAGCACTGAACAATTCTAGCCCCTCATATATCTTCACTGATCCATAGGTATGCCCCTTTATCTGTCTCTCCAATCTGCCCATGACCTTCTCTTGTCTGATGCTTGAACCCATATGGCCAACTCACACTTGCAGGACTTCTTCTTGCCTACCACCATCAGACTCTCCCCAACTCTCCTGCCTTAAAACACAACCCTTCAGGAAAGTGTATGACCTCCCAGAGTAACCTCTAGTGTGGCGAAAGTAACCTCGCCACTTGTACTTGGTAACCTGCCCATAGACTATGGGCCCTGCAGGGAGACCTGTAAAAGACTACCGAACTTGACCGACTGTTAGAACTGATTTCCCTGGAACTGTTTTGGGCATAGGACCCTGTGCACGGTTGGTCAAAACTATGACTTCCAGAAATTCGTGAACTCCTAAACCAATATGGGTGATTTTTGGATATGTTGTTCACCCAGATTGGGTTTATGGGGTTTTATGTGTTATTAAGGTACTTTTGGGGGGTTTCATAAAATTGTATGTTTTTCTGTGCTTGGAGATAATTGGGTTAGATTAGTACAATTCCTGATTCAATTATCTCCCAAGCACAGAGGGAGGGATTCTATTGCTTGTGTATTGGAGTGTCTCACTGTATAACTCTGTTTTTAATGGTTTGTTAACTTTGTGTCCTTGTGCCCAACAAGTTCCACCTGGGTGTCACCCTTATTGGGAAACTTGCATAAAAGGCCAGTGTGTATCCATTAAAATTCTGTTCCTGCTTACCCTCAACATAGAGTCTCATGTCATGTGTGGGGGAAACGGCTGTGTCTATCCTGGGGATTGCTATATCACTATACTCCCCAGGAATTTTAATCACTAACTCTTATAAGTGCTGTTCCTGCTATGCTCTCTGGGAGTAGGAGAGTTCTGCCACTGGAAGCTGGGTCCCGGTCTTGGGTCCAGGGTGGCTGAATTGCTGGAAGTGGGGTCTGCAGTGCTGATGGTGTCTGGTGGAGTGCTAGAAGCATCCTCGGTGAGCATTAGAAGCATCTATTGGCGGAGGCACTCAGTCAGAGTGCCAGGCGGTCTGTCACATCTACCTCATACCTGTCCCTTGCTCTCTCCTAGAGGACAGCATTCTACTCTCTCCTCTAGATCTGCTTCACTCCCACTTTGTTTGATTTCTATCTCCTGTCCTTTTGTGTTTTATACCCCACCTCGTCTAGACTGCAAGCTTGCTTGAGCAAAGTCTTCTTCAACCTATTGTTCCTGTAAGTTGTGGTAAATTTCTCATTTATTGCTAAATCTCCCCCTCTTATAATATTGTAAAGCACTATGGAATATGTTGGCACTACATAAATGCTAAACATAATAATATAAACAGACAGCTATTATTTAATATATCAGAATAATGCAAGCATTTATCTAAAGATATTATGCTTTATATTCATGTTTAATTTTTTGCCTCGCAGTTATGCATGGAACTTTGACATTGGTGTCAACTTTACCTAACTTTTGAATAGGTCATTTTCTTTACTAACAATAATCGTATGGTAATTGAAGTGTGTTTTTTTTGTCTATGAGATAAAACGGAATAATTGAACTCTCAAGCCTTACCATTTGAGCTACTGTGATTGCAAAATTTCTGGAATACAACCTCAGTCGATTAAGAGTGTAAAATTACCAGGCGAACAGCTCTTGGCTTGCTGCAGAATACCAATAAATTTTATCCCTCTGATCAAATAAAGAGCTCAAATTGGAAGGCAAGAAATAACTGATTGCAGAGTTTTATTGTCATGCCAGATTCTTTTGAAAACTGAGCAAATTGAACAAAAAAAAAAAACCTTACAGAATTTAATGATGGTTCTACTAACTGAGGACAAAAGACATAGATACAAAATATACAGGGCACAATATGTTCTAAAGTTATCTGATCTACATCACTTTGAATTTAATTTTATAACCATGTGAAAAAAGTTAAAGTTAAGGACTTGGTTGGTACTATTTTTTTTAACATTAAAATAGTCCTCGAAATAATATTTTTTAATTTATTTTGAATCCTTCTATTGAACACAAAAGTCTCTACATGTTGATTGACTTTATGTCTAGCTATATCATAGATACTTTAGTGCTTCCAATGAATATACAGAATATAATGAATCTTTAAAGGATTTTTCAGTGCCAGGAAAACAAACCCGTTAAAACCCTATAGTCACTCACCTGAATCCAGCGCAATGTCCCTCGGTGCTGGATCGGGCTCTGCCCACGCTCGCATTAGGGCAATGGCCACGCTCGCATTAGGATTTTCCCATGGGAAAGCACTATTCAAAGCTTTCCTTTGGGGAAAATCTGACCCTGGAGGTTCTCATGCATAGCGTGAGGACGTCCAGCATCAGATAACGGACCAAAGGTCCGTTTCAGTTCCGGAAATCCCACTAGTGGCTGTCTGGTAGACAGCCACTATAAGAGTAGTTAACCCTGAGAGGTAATTATTGCAGTTTCTCAGAAACAGCAATAATAACTATTGCAGGGTTAAGGGATATGGGACATTGTACCCAGACCACTTCAATGAGCTGAAGTGGTCTGGATGCCTACAGTGTCCCTTTAAAAAATTATTTTATTTAGAGTAACAATGACATATGTTAGCAACCTTTTTAGAGTGCTACAGATTGTTTAGACATATAAGCAAAATATCCAAATCCTGTTAGACCTTAAATATAATGCAGTTAGATTTTAAGGCAGATTGGTGCACTATTAAAATTCACAAACCAGGACATTTGACTTAATATTGTTAATACTTAAAGTAAACACTTCTCTATGTCAGACCTCTTTTTTTATTTATGAGCAGGCGATACCTAATGCGTCTGGACTTGTAAACTGCACTTCTATCATTTTATCTTCTGTTAATCCACCTAGTGACTAACAGAAGATGAGTGGGGTATGTAGGGTATGTAGCATTCTGGTCTGTGAGACACCAAAGGAATAATCCTTTCTGGTTCTGGTGAGTATCCTCTTACAAAATGTAAAACAATATGATACTTGTTGGCATGATTTGTTGTGTAATTTGAGATGATAACAATAAACAGTGTACAAATGGACTCAAAATGAATGGGGCTTGGCCTGGGGGTGGGTGCAAACTGACACATTTTTTCAAAGCTCCATATTGTGTATTTTCATCCATAAGCACTAGACTCTACAGTACTGATATCACTACATAATGACTAGATTTAGCCACACTGCAGCCATGGCAACTGGAAACTAAACAGTTAGTGGAATACCTACACACTGGCACAATGGCAGTCTCTAGAGTACTGATTTTTGCAATATAAGGTCGCCTTCTACTTTTCAGAGGTTTTATTGACTTAAAGGGACATTATAGTCACCATAACAACTTTAGCTTAATGAAGCAGTTTATATGTATAGATCATGCCTCTGCATTCTCACTGCTCAATTCTCTCATTTAGGAGTTAAATCACTTTGTTTATGCAGCCCTAGGCACACCTCCCTGCATGTGACTGTCACAGCCTTACTAATCACTTCCTGTAAATAGAAATGGTCACACTTCCTTCATTTTAAACTTTTTAAAATTTCTAAGTTCTTATCTCCTGCTCTGTTAATAGCTTGTGAGAGCCTGCAGGAGCCTCCTGTGTGTCATGAAAGTTAAATTTACTTTTAAACTTTTAAATTAAGTTACAAGTGAAACCATGTTTTTTTTCATGCAAGTTGTGCCAATCACATCCAGTGGAAGTGTGGCAAGGGCTGCATGGACAGAAACAAATGTGATTTAACTCCTAAATGGAAGAGGATTTAGACTTCAGCAACATAAGCTAAAAATTAAAACTGCTTCATTAACCTAAAGTTGTTTTTATGATTATAGTGTCCCTTAATCCCTTTAATACACCTACTTTCTGCAAGTGTTGTTTTTCAAGTGGAGTCACACCCTCTGATTGACTATGTCATTGCTCAGTGGCCTCAAACACTTCACAAAAGTACAAGATGATGCTTTAGCTATCTAGTTGTCAATTAGTACTTGATACTGCCAAATGTCTCTTTGGATCTCAATGCATTTATAGTGGTATTATAGTACAGTTGCATAGTTCATTTGCAGACCAGCATATCCTCTTCCAGGAGAAATTCTTTTTTGAAAAACAAACAAATGGATTTAGAGGACAGAGCTTGTCAGAATAATTGTAGGAATTTGGGAACTCAATGAAACAATTACCAATGAAGAACTGCCGTCTTATCAGATTGACTTACTAGTCTTGGGTTCTCTTCTCTGAATTTATACCAACCAATATTAGTTGCTTCCACATCTATCAAATTCTCATATTGATTTATGTCTTGGCGATAAAATTATCTCAAAAAGTGTGCTGGACTACACATTTGGCAGGAGAACATGGCCTAATTACATTATACTATGATCTTGTTACCTCTGAAAGAAAATTCCTACCTTGAAATGAAAGTCTTTTGAAAATTGAACTCTCCCTTAAGCAATAAATCACATCACACATTTTGCCAAACTACTATCTAATTACTTCAGAGAAAATTGTGTTTCCTGGCTAGCCATAAGGTGGTTATATGTAGCCATTACATTTGATTAGGTTCTCACTGAAAAAAAGGTTAACATGGACAAACCCATGGCTCTCCAGACACAATTAACCTTGATGGAGCTGTAAAACAAGTAAATCCCTCCTCTGAATGCATTGATGGTATCCTTACCAAACCGAAACACAAATACTTTATTGGTAGTAATAAGACCAACTAATCATTTGCCTCAAACTGTCTCAAAAGAAAGGGAAGCAAACCGTAGAATTGTTTTTATATGTAATTCCAATAAGGGCAATATGATTAATCTTGCTAATATTGCAAAAGTAATTTTCTGATTTTTATGGTTCACTGTAAACTTTGCAAGGAACTGCAGCACTGGGTCCCAAAAGAAAGAACTTACTCCAGGCTTGAATAAGTAAATAACAATTCAAGCTTTATTCCATATGTATTTTTCCCAAATCAAATAATATATACCACAGTGCACAGAGGGGGCACAAGGAGGGCAATACTTGCGTGTTTCATGCCTAAAAGTCACTTCCTCGGGTCTCAAAAGAAGTGCCTTTTGGATACAAAACATGTAAGCATCCTTCTCCTGGTCCATCTCTGAGACAGAGCCTCATGGTCATGTAATAAATAAACACCCCTCTTGTGCCCCCTCTGTGCACTGTTTGTTTGTTTGTTTTTATTTTAGGAAAAATGGAATATAGCTTGGATTTTTATTTACTTATTCAAGTCTGAAGTAAGTCCCTTCTTTTGAGACCTGCTGCAGTTTCTTGCAAATTATACAGTGAAAAAAAGGAATTGGAGGCACACCAGGAACATGCATTTCTCACTAGTGGTGCTACAGTAATGACCAAAACAAATACAAAATACAGATTAATGAACAGCACACACACAAAAATGCAGTTTAAAGGCTACTTAAAATACCTAACCATAGCAAACAAATATGGAGATTCAGTAACCACATAGTGTGTTAAGCCCACCACTACTTCACAGTACCTCAATATCGCTGGGTCCTACAGGGAGTGCAGAATTATTAGGCAAATGAGTATTTTGACCACATCATCCTCTTTATGCATGTTGTCTTACTCCAAGCTGTATAGGCTCGAAAGCCTACTACCAATTAAGCATATTAGGTGATGTGCATCTCTGTAATGAGAAGGGGTGTGGTCTAATGACATCAACACCCTATATCAGGTGTGCATAATTATTAGGCAACTTCCTTTCCTTTGGCAAAATGGGTCAAAAGAAGGACTTGACAGGCTCAGAAAAGTCAAAAATAGTGAGATATCTTGCAGAGGGATGCAGCACTCTTAAAATTGCAAAGCTTCTGAAGCGTGATCATCGAACAATCAAGCGTTTCATTCAAAATAGTCAACAGGGTCGCAAGAAGCGTGTGGAAAAACCAAGGCGCAAAATAACTGCCCATGAACTGAGAAAAGTCAAGCGTGCAGCTGCCACGATGCCACTTGCCACCAGTTTGGCCATATTTCAGAGCTGCAACATCACTGGAGTGCCCAAAAGCACAAGGTGTGCAATACTCAGTGTAACGGATCACCTGGCACCCCGACTGGGTACCTCCGTTGAAAGATGCTCCAGCGCTTCCAGAGGACTCCAAGCACTCCACCAGACACCATAAGCACCGCAGACTGCAGCTATCTCCCTTCAGAACGAAGCAGGAACAAGCTCTTACAAGAGCTCAGTGATTATAGCAAGGGAATATGCCTAGCATAGCAATCCCTTGTAGCAGATTCCCCAATAAGAGACAGGACTCAAGTTGAGGGTAAAAATAGAACTCTCTGGCTGCTAGCTTGCAGCCCTTTTTATTAGGTGCTCCCATGAAGGGGAGGGACACACACAGTAACGTACATTAACCAATCACACAATAGTTACATCCCACACATAGCCCTCCCCTCTACCTGTAAACTAATTATCTGTACACACAGGAAAATACAATTATCATAGGTAGGGAAAATACAGTTTTTACACAAGATTCATAACTCCCAAAATATACATCACATTCGCATAAAAATACATATTCACAATCAATCCATTCAGGGGAACAACATATTAAAAAATGGCATGAATCCAACCAGGGGTTCAAAAGTTAGTAAAAGTATCTTTTGTTCCCCCTGGCTCAAACAGTAAAAGTGAAACATCCCCACAATGCATCCTGGCTTCCTCCCTTCTGCCCTGGAGATAATTGGAGAAGGAATCTAATTATCTCCAAAGACAGAGCCAAACTCCATTACCCACATGGCAGACAAAAAGACAGTAAAAGACATAAAATTACATACTGACACATTTAGTACATAAAACACACATTTCTACATATCCCCAGATAGCTTGGATCTGACTGCACATTATTAGATGAATGGCACTCAGATCACACGAATAAGCCTTTCTGCAGGGAAAATAAACAGTTTAACCTGCAGGGCCATAGTCCAAAGGCAAGAGGCGGGCAAGCAGCCCCCTCCAAGGACACGTGGCGAGGTCGGTTTTGCCACACTCAGAGACATGGCCAAGGTAAGAAAGGCTGAAAGACGACCACCACTGAACAAGACACACAAGCTGAAACGTCAAGACTGGGCCAAGAACTATCTCAAGACTGATTTTTCTAAGGTTTTATGGACTGATGAAATGAGAGTGAGATGGGCCAGATGGATGGGCCTGTGGCTGGATTGGTAAAGGGCAGAGAGCTCCAGTCCGACTCAGACGCCAGCAAGGTGGAGGTGGAAGCTGGTATCATCAAAGATGAGCTTGTTTTTCGGGTTGAGGATGGAGTCAAGCTCAACTCCCAGTCCTACTGCCAGTTCCTGGAAGACACCTTCTTCAAGCAGTGGTACAGGAAGAAGTCTGCATCCTTCAAGAAAAACATGATTTTCATGCAGGACAATGCTCCATCACACGCGTCCAAGTACTCCACAGCGTGGCTGGCAAGAAAGGGTATAAAAGAAGAAAATCTAATGACATGGCCTCCTTGTTCACCTGATCTGAACCCCATTGAGAACCTGTGGTCCATCATCAAATGTGAGATTTACAAGGAGGGAAAACAGTACACCTCTCTGAACAGTGTCTGGGAGGCTGTGGTTGCTGCTGCACGCAATGTTGATGGTGAACAGATCAAAACACTGACAGAATCCATGGATGGCAGGCTTTTGAGTGTCCTTGCAAAGAAAGGTGGCTATATTGGTCACTGATTTGTTTTTGTTTTGTTTTTGAATGTCAGAAATGTATATTTGTGAATGTTGAGATGTTATATTGGTTTCACTGGTAATAATAAATAATTGAAATGGGTATATATTTGTTTTTTGTTAAGTTGCCTAATAATTATGCACAGTAATAGTCACCTGCACACACAGATATCCCCCTAACATAGCTATAACTAAAAACAAACTAAAAACTACTTCCAAAAATATTCAGCTTTGATATTAATGAGTTTTTTGGGTTCATTGAGAACATGGTTGTTGTTCAATAATAAAATTAATCCTCAAAAATACAACTTGCCTAATAATTCTGCACTCCCTGTACACTAATTTTTACATGAGCGATAAACATTCTAACTGCAATACTTAACAACTTAAATGGAGATAACTTCAAAACATATCTAGAGCAATTGCAGAATGAAACAAGATGTGCTGTCAAACATAAAACATCCTACCAAATACACTGCACAAACCATTTTTATTGGTTACTGGGATACTTAAGTGATTATTATGGGACAGACATCTTACCTTGCCTGACACCTGAATGCTATTCTCCTGCATGTTTGTGATGGCTTCAGAAATCTTAATATCGATAGGATCCATGACCGACTCGATATTGAATGGCCCCTCCAATCTGTCAATTACTAAAAGCATGGCATCTGTACAAAGACCAAAGCAAAAACACAAACAAAATAAAGGTCAAGAGTGTGATTAAAAGGCCACATTAAACATTGAGCTGACTATGGAAGTGCTGCATTCATTGTTTTCTCCACAGTGAAGAGACATTTACACAATTTTGCAAACACACCTGTCATAACACACTTTCCACAAACAGCTGCATTACTGGCGAGATTACATTTATTAATAATAATTTAATTTGGATGCTTTACTATACTGTGTTATCAAACTTTAATGCACTGTGGATGAATAAAACCTAATTTATGATGTAAACATTTAAAGCCAGGTATTTTTTTTATATCAGACTGTAAAATGCCTGATATTTGTTATCTTATGGATATTGAACAAAGCAGCCTATCAAATATTTACATTGCAATGCCTAGAAATTCATTTAAACTAAGGATACTACAAATATAAATGTCATAACAGGTACACCACTTTCCACAAACAGCTGCATTACTGGCGAGATTACATTTATTAATAATAATTTAATTTGGATGCTTTACTATACTGTGTTATCAAACTTTAATGCACTGTGGATGAATAAAACCTAATTTATGATGTAAACATTTAAAGCCAGGTATTTTTTTTATATCAGACTGTAAAATGCCTGATATTTGTTATCTTATGGATATTGAACAAAGCAGCCTATCAAATATTTACATTGCAATGCCTAGAAATTCATTTAAACTAAGGATACTACAAATATAAATGCTTTTTTTTTTCATAACAGGTACACCACAATTAGTGCAAATTACAACACACTTAAAAAAGTAAAAATATCAATATAGTAAGTGCGATCATCAATATTGTGGATAGGGAGGAAAATATGACAGAGGATAATACAATGCACAGATCAAAATATGTATTGCATTGTTTATTAAATTATATAGACAAAAATACTTATGTTGTCTTTGCAGTGTTCTTTTACATTAGGAATAAATGAATAAAACCATGAAAGTTAATCTCCCCTTTAAGGCCAAAGCAGCTGAACTGAGAGAATAGCTGAATTCTCGAATTTTTCCAGTTTATCTACTTTGATCTTGAATTTGGAATTCACTTAGAATTCCCAACATTTTTCACTTATGTTAATAGCTGTGTACATCTTCTTCAATTAGATGATAATTCACAATGAAACTTCTTTGAGCTTTAGGTAGTTGGTTCTTATCTTTAATTAAATACAGGTTAATGCAATGTGACCTCCCTCCTTCTATATCTTCAGTGGCCGCCAGTAATATATGTAAGAGGAGAGGAGATATAGCAGAGTGTAATAATGTGAATAAAATATCCTGGAATGTGGGGTAATCCAGTGCCTCAGTGATTGACCCACCATGTGATGGCTCAGATTAATAAGCACTGACATCTTTTATTGGATACTGATTTCCCTTTCCGAGTATTTCACAATTATTTTTATTTTTTGTATTCTTTATTTTTTTTGCAGTGCAGGGTTACAGACAGGCTTGCAATGTCATTTCAATAAGAGAGATGACAGAAACAGGTGCAAATATGTGACATGACATATCGAGAATGCTGCACTTTTTATAAAAGAAAATAAAAATTCACAAGCGAGATAACCATGCCTAGAGATATCACTACATAATTGCATGAATGATAAAAAGAACATGGAGAGTACAGAATAGGTAACACAGTAAAATGAACAGAAACATGTCAACCTACTGTGAGTAACACAGGCAAGTGCAAGAAACTGTGAGCTGAGAATTCTGTCAGGAGATGCCCCTCATGAGATTAAACTAAATTTAAAATGATACTGTTGTAGGAAACATATAATGATAAAAGATTAACGAACAGTGAGACTGTGTTAAACATAATAAAAGGTTATGTGTCATACAATATAATAGAGAAAGGCGTTTGGGACACATGGTGTAGATCAAGTAGTGGAAGGAGAGCATCCTCCAAGACTGCAGCACATCACCTAGAAAAACACAGATGTGATCAGCCAATTCCCTTGACTGGTGATGTAGTGTCCCACAAAGTAGACTGTGGCCTAAGCCTCTAGTTCTCAGTCCGGTAGGCATTTTTGCTTTCTTCCACCTAGTGGCGCTGATTGAGCTGATCCCACAGGGATAGTCCCACTCTGAGAAATCACATTGTCAGACATATTGTGGATAAGATTAAAATGAAATGTATACTGTAAAGTCACAGATACTTTGCAGATTTGACTCCATTTTGTAGCAGCATGTAAAAGTCACAGACACATTTTTTTCCTTGCTCTGTTCACTGCCGGCCAAACTGTGGAATATGACTAATGTAAGCACATTGACCAAAAATAAGGCATCTCCTACACTTAGAACTAAAAATAAAAAAAGAAATCTATATTCATAGAATCCTAATGAATAGATCTCATTATTATTATTAAAACTAACATTAGCTGAATGTGTGTAAAAGACATGTATATATCACATGTTACTAATACAGACACACTTAGCTCCATATAATAGGACAGTGTCAACTGGATCAACCAGACACAGATAAGAATTACGAAGACGATATACTCCCTACCAGTTATTAATTTTAATTATGAGGAAACTCTATATCAATGCAAGAACCCATAAGACATGAGTTGAACCAGAGGGCAAATGTGCCAACCACTTAAATGATGGTACCATTTGATGCCTGTCTGTTAAAACCAACCATACTTAATTTGATGTGTTACAGCCATCTATGATTTAGCTATAAAGATTGTGATTTTCTATGTCATTTTACTACCTCAAATGGTAATTCAAATTAGCAATGAAAATTATTGTGATGCAATGATGATATCTTCTGGTTATAATCTATAAAACCATCATTAGAATAAGTTACACCCATCTAATTCCATTGGTCATTTTAAAAGATCACATGAAAGAAGTAGAGATAAGGAAATTCCTTAAAACACTTTCCAAAAGGAGAGGGGAAGACAAAAACAGAATAAGAAACACACTTCTGTTCACACCCTGGCATCACACTCTAGGGAATAATACTCTAACAATCTGCTCTACCCATCTATCGTTAAACATTTTACTTACATTCACCATCCATTGGATTATATTTCCAGAATACCTAGAGAATATTCTACAAATGGGTAAATGTGCTGGTTTAATTAAATTAAACTAAATTAAACTAAAAGCAGAAATATGCCTGGATAATGCTGATCAGATTTAAAAACTTTTGAAATCATATTTAACTGAGAAATATATAATTCCATATTCTAGACTGTAGCTGGGATAAAAAGAATAATATATTTGCTAGTGATTTTTCAAATGAATATTATCCAGAGATATTGACTTATCTTTGAAATATCAAGGAAAAGTTAAACATCTGCAGCGTGTAAAGCTTAGGATTTTCTTATGGTTATTGGATGGTAAAGAATAATTAAGTTGACTATTTGTGAGATTAAACAATGTGTATTTTGTTTGCAATGCTTTAGTGTTTACCCTGCGAGAATTGTAGCGAGCAGTGAGTGAGTTAATTCTCTGTGTACTGATTCTAACTGCCTGTAAGCATCTGATTTTACGCTGCCTAATACTCTGTTTAACATTCTATGTTACATTCTTTGTGTAATGGATTCTAAAGCAGAACTACTATGGCATTGTTATGTATCTATGTTAAAAAATAATTGTTGATTAAATTCTAGAGGAATTATCTGTAATTTTACATGTAACTCCTTTGGAAGTTATTTTTAACTTTATGTGTTTAACAGCTATTTATTATTTATGTGTCTTGAAAATCTGTACCAATACTTGCTAATGCTACTGAGTCCTACTGGTGGATAATTTCTATTTGGTCTAACATTGACACCACCTTAAGAAAAGTGATTTAGAAATATTATTTTTAATATTTATTACCCCATAAATATCCTCACAACATCATGGACACTGGAGCTAAGGATGTCCCGATAAGGCCAGTAAGTGCGCAGTTTCCGAGATGTATGGGTTAGCAGAGGAGAAGAGCTCAGTATTGGATCACTGTCGACACAATGTGAGGCCTGATTCTTGCATAGGAGACACAACCTCACATGTGTCACAGCATTCTTGTGCTCTGTGGAATGTCTGCAGGCGTTAGCTATTGTATGGGGCTTTGAATTCTGCTGATCAGCTTGTGCCAGGAGGCCTCAAAGAGAATATCAAGCCTTGATAGAATATGGAGTTGCGGGCCCAGTTAACATGTGCCATCTTAAGTGGGACACCACAACCGATTGTACTTTCAAGGATGCTGCTATGGGACCCAAGGCACATGGGTGCCGGGATATTGCTGCTGGTGTTCTGCTTTCAGGCAGGTCAGAGACCGCCAGATCTGCCACGTCTCAATGCCTACACCACCAGGAAGGCAGCAGATTGGCTGCCGGAGGTTTCCCAGCAGTTATCCCCCACACCACACAGGACGGCAATACTGATTATACAAGCAACAAGGAACCCAGAGGCACCTCAGGCTCAAAAACAGTGAGCTAAAAGTCCACAAATTAGAAAAAAGATAATATTCTGCACGGAGCTCGACCGCTCAGTTCGGCAGTCATGCCCCACCCCCCAGCAATATGAATCTTAATCAGAATATTTGAGCACATTCAAGAGAACTTGAATATTTTGAACAAATAGTAATAGTATGGATAGTTATATTGATATATTTCATGCAAACTTTAATATACTGAATTTGATTTCACGAAATCAATTGCTCTCATCTTTGTGTTCTTTGTATAGTTTGAGTGCTGTGTAGCAGCATGGTCTGATTGGGGTAATAATCTGATTGGGCAGAGTGCCAGATTTCCTAATTTTGCTACTATAAATAATATATGTATTTATATGATCACTTTTTTCACCAACAGGCACAGAAAAAGAATCCTCTTGTTCATAATGAATTTTCTGTAAGAACAATAACTGAGTGCTGATGTTCGTTTTCTTAGGAGGTTCTTGAGTTAAGACTCCATCTCTGAAAACAATTAAGACAACTTTTCAATCAAGTTCAGAGGAAAGTCAGTCAAA